AGATCAGGATCACATCCACAGGCAGGAATAACCACCACTGCCACATTCCACTTTCTCGTTGTCATTGATCCAATCCTGCAGATTCCACAGCTGCTTCAGGAACTACTTGAGAAGAGAACAAAATCTTTTAAATCACAGGAGGGTTCTGTTTAAAACAAAGTCCTTCCCAGTTTAAAGGACCTCTTGTATAAGTTTTAAGGTGAATCCAAAACCTTTTAAGTGTAGCTTGCATAAATTGGTGAGGAGAATTCAAGCTGAAAAGAAAATTCTTGCTTGAGCAAGTCTACTGAAATGGGAGAAATCCTCACCTTGAAAAGTTCAGGTGGAACTGTCAACTTTCCCTTCTCCCCAAATCTATCTTGATTTGCTTTTTTCTAGATATCAGCAAGGTTTACTTAACAGTGTCCAACAGTGCTTTTAAGACCATTACCAATCTATCTTACCCTGTTTTGTCAATGAGGAACTTTTGTGAGATTCTTCTCTTTAATATCTCTATGCTAACAGAATTGGAAATGATACATGTTCATTAAGCAAGAAGTTTGGTAAGATTTTATGTGAAGATTTGTAAACACCAAGGGCTGTTAAAGAACAAAGTAGAAGGGATTTTACCATTTATTATTTTATAAATTTAGTTTAAGAAATGGTAAATCGTGTATAATTGTCCTTAACTCCTCTAATACAGTCTGTAAAATGGAAAGACTTAGAATTAAAATGGATAAAGAAAAATGTCTTTTTTATAATGCACAGTCTATCTGTGGAACTCATTGCCATTAAGTTTTGCTGACACTAAAGAGATTAGCAGGATGTCTTTACTGGATTATCAAATGTATTCCCTTTATCCATGCAAGCATCACATTATACAAGATTTTAAAAGAAAAAGAAATATAAATTTTTATGCTTCAGGACTAAGCCAACTTCTAAATAATAAGAATTAGGAATAAACTTTATAGCTTAGTTATTTCAGATTGTCATTTGAGAAGTTTCTTTCACTTTCAAGTGACTGTTTCTGGCTAATGGTGGTAATAAGGAACGGAACTGCATGAGCCCCACTGCAATGCCTTTTCTGTACCCATAACGTCCTCTGAAACCTGGGCATTGATCATCTTTGCTCAGTGTTTTGCAGAAATAAAGCAGTCTGTGTTCTGGGTAGAAGTTCCTGTGTAAGGTGGCCTTTGACTGCCCTCAAGCCATTAACCTCTCTGCATTTTTCCTCAAGGATTATTCAGTCAATTTAGGCTTTATATTAGCTTTATTAGCTTACAGGTGTAGGGCCTGAGGGGATCTCAAAGGGATCCCTTTGAAACTAAATATATCTACAAGTTACACAGATATTTTTTTTTTGTGTGTAAAACTAAGTCATCTTCCTTGTTGGACTCTCTTCTCAAACTGTATGACTGCCACTGATTATTGCTTTGCTGATGTCCACTCAGGGAGATCAGAGTCTCAGCTGGGTCTAAGGCCACATCAGCTTCTCTCCATGTTTCTGTCACTGATTTTCACCACTTGGATTTATGTGCTGTCCTACACAGAACTGTACTCCCTCAGCTTGACCTCTAGATCTGACCTGAATTCAGGAATGCACTCTCAGAATCACTTATTGTAAGTGACTTACAATTGTTTCCACTTTATCTCCCTCATATTCATCGCTGTTTATTAATCATTCTGAGAAGGCATGCTCTGAATAGAGGAAAATGCAGGTCACACAATAGCCGATTCCACTGTCCTTACAAAAATGAACAGTACACAGGCTGCTTTCTGGATTCTTAACTGTTCCCAAAAAGACCAAGGCAAGTTAAACCACATCATCTTTTGGCTGTCCTCCAAAAATTATGCAGAAGAGCTTGAGGAAAGAAGTTAGGGGCATTTGTCCCTGCAGGAAAAACACTTTTAAAACAATTTTGAGTTTGTGCACATATGAATGACAAGTATGTGAATTCAGTGGGATGTTATCTGAAGGACAGTCATTTTTATGGCAAGTTTTTTTGCTGCACATAATCTAAGCTTTTTAGGAAAACAAACGTGTTCTCTGTGTGCAAAGGGCTGCTCCCTCCATTAACTGAGTAGTTGTTTCAGCCACATGTGCCCGAGGAACAGAATTCTCTCAGGTAGTTCATTTCTTATGAAGTTTGTTTTTGAAATAAAAAAGGGAAAAGAAAAAGGCTTGGACAGAGGAGGCTGCGCCCACTATGGTAAAAGCTAAATCTGGGCTCTTACGCAAGGCATCAAAGAATCCATCCTGGCAAAATATGTATAAATATCCCAAATAAGGAGATAGCTTTAAGTATCACTTGCTATCAACAAGTAGATACAAAGTTACCAGGCTTTAATGGTTCTCATTTCAGAGCTGTTTATCAGCTGCTCTGCTTTTCTCAAAAACTAGGGGTTTTAACTGTTCAGACTATTTCATGAGGCAAAAGCAACTGGGAATTTGGTTCTTGTAGCTTACGGAGTGGGGGAGTTTTCGCCTTTTGTTCCTTCTGTGTTGTGTCGGGTTGGCATTTTGCTCGATGAGTCACTGCACTGCGTACATGTGCTTGATCTCTCCGTCTTCACTGTTAAGATACAGGGAAGCATTTCCCTACAGATTTCATGGCCTGACATCTAATTGCTGTGCTTTCAAATGTGTTCAATTCAGACTCTAAAACTAGTTGGAATACAGATTTGAGATATTCACTTACTTTTAACAGTAGATCAGTCTAAGTTCCTAAAACTCCTCTTGAAATTTGAACCTGCTTTTCCTTAACTAATTATCATGACTAAGACCATAGTTGTCATACCAAAACAGTGATGTAGTAGACAGGGAACTATTTTTCATCCACGAAGGCAGTGGAAGAGTTAAGAAGGCAGGGCTGTAACTGACTGGTTGCCTGGGGCGCTTTGGCAAGTCCGTGGGACCAACCCCCTAAGGTAAACATTAAGGTGCAGTAGGTGTATCACTCTGTGCAGAGTTCAGCCCTGTTGCTTACAGCTTGCACAACTTGTAGCACATCAGAACACTGTGGAATCAATGGCTCGCCAGAGTTTCAAGACATGATTAAAAGACTCAAGAAGGCCCTGAAAGAATTTCCTTTAATGGGGAATTGTGTGAGTGAGTACAGTGGGTGAGTTGGTATTTTTTTTCTTTCTTCCCTTCTAGCTGTTGGTTTACTTTGGCAAAATGCTTCTGAGCTGAGGTTTAGTGTATGTGCTTGCATGTGTCTGGTTTGGAGAATGAGTCTGTCCTGTACCTCACCAATCGATACTAAAAAAATTACTTTGAGATATGATAATTCCTGGTTTGTGGCAATGACAGACTATAAAGCTATTAGAACCTATTTCTTCTTAAAGAAAACAGTCTTATTGAGGAATGCAGGTATGTATATGATTTACAGCAACTACAAGTCTTTAGTTTAATTTCTCATCATCTTGAGAGCCTTGTTACTGCTTTAATTTTATGTATGCTTTACTCTGAAATTAGGTTAACTTTTTAATGTGGATACATTTATGACACATGGAATGTTCTTCACACCATTCCTATGCATGGTACTAAAAATGAACAAAAAGTTTTATGCTGATTAAAGATTACATCTTTTTGAACTTATGCCATTTTTTCTCTTTTACTAACAAGTTCTAATGAGTTTTGTTTGTATCGGCCTGCAGTTAAAATTCATGAGTCTGAGTAGAAACAGCATGTGCGTGCTGCACCGTACATGGGGTCTTGTGTTATGCAAAGTATTGGCATGTTTTAATCTTTGTAGTCTGGGATTGCTAGGAGATTGTGTATCATGATTTTCAGTATTTTGGCTTTGGCATAGAGAGACATATGCCTATAATTTATGTTAACTCTTTGAGGATGTAATCTCTCTTTCCACTATAAGGATTTGTATTACAGAAACTCAGCTGCTATGTCTATTTGAAAATGCATAACTTGTGTTTCTGTCCATCAGAAGTTATATTAGGTTTAAAATCTTTACCACAAAAATTAAGTATCTGTACAAATACATGATGTGATCATCTTTTAAAGGAAGTGCATTACCCCTATCCCTTGTGGAAGTCACAAGTACTTAAAATTCCTGCTGTTCTGTTTGATCAGGCTGTAATAATGAGAACTAGTGAATAGGACATGGGCTCTTGAGATTTGGCCTATAATGAGTATTTGTTTCTGTGAGTGAGAGAACATAAAGGCACAGAAATATTTTTCCTCTGACATGTTTAATGTGGCATATTATAGATAATTGCTGCTACATTTTCAGTAGGATTTGGGCTTTTTTAATAAACCCAAACATTTTTAATATACATATATATAACATACTTTTTTAATCATGCTGCAATAAATATATCCATGAAAAATTACCGAATCCATGATTTTCACAGTTTTGTGCTGTAAGTCATCACAGTTTGATTAAAACTTCATAGTTAATACCAAGCACAGAAGAATGTCTTTATGGCCTTCTGCAATTGGCCTTAATGCAGATGGATTTTAATCCTGGTTAATTTTACATGGGAAATAGATTACTGCCTTAGATGAGCTGCTACTCTGTTTCCCAAAGTGTCAGTTCCTACAACCCTACTAGTATATGAAAATGTATCATTAAAGTTTTATTCATTTATTAAGACTTAACAGCCCCCTTGCTATGCCTGGGTATTGTTGACTAAAGCAAAATTGTCTTGCCTGGCAAAAAGCACCTTAAACTCTGCTGCTGTCCTATGAGTCCCCCATGTTTTATGCAGAATCATGCCTGCATACATATGCATACATACATTCACTGTAGTCAGCTGTATCCCTTTTTGTATGACAGGCATGAACTACTACATGTTACTATTTCAGTCAGAAGTTGTTGTTTCTCATTAAGGAAAATAAATATTGCAGAAAGTTCTTTAAAAAAGGAGGGTGAAAGGAGCTTATTTCTTTACCAGTTCATTCCCTTTCCTGAAGGTATTTAATGCCTAATCTGGTATTTTGCCAGTAGGATCTAGTACCCAGCTTTGGTCTCCAGGTGATTTTGTTTTATTTGTTTCAGTCAAGTGCCCGATGATACGACACTGGAGGAGTTGTCCCCTCGTGTTCCTAGAGCTGTGTTTGTGAAGCAGGACAATGGTGGCAGTGCCTCAGTCATCCCAGTATCATCTGTCCGTGTCCCACAAGGGGAGGAAGAAAAGGAAGAAGCTTCAAACTCTCCTGACTTAAATCCCTGCAGTGCTACATACAGCAATTTAGGTAAGTGTATTCTCATAGAAGAAAATTTAAGTCAGATTTTGGATCCCTTTCCAGGCTGTGAAGAACCTGAATGAATGAATGAATGAATGAATGAATGAATGAATGAATGAATGAATGGATGGATGGATGGATGTCCTGAAGGTACTGCACAGTCTATTCAACTATCACTGAATTCCTGACTCATATTAAAAAGATAAATAGATGCAAGGCTTCTCTGGAAGATAAATGAGCCAGACAAATAAGCATTTCCCAATATATAGTATCAATATTATCAGCCTAATTTTCTAAAGCATTTTGATTTGAAGTACTGCGAATTTTGGATACCTACAGCCAGATTTTCTAGAAGGACAAAAATCCCATCTGAATATCTGAATGCATGTTTCTGAGTAACACTCCAATCCTGTAAGCACACCAACCTACTAAGCATTTGGACAAGAGTAAACTGACTGCATTGGGGTGGCTCACAAATACAGAGGTTTGGCATGTCAACACAGGTTTGAGGGATCAAGGCCTAAATTTTAAACCCTCATGTGCATACATTCCTTAGACATTTAGTGATATTGTTGCATTTTTTTGCTTAAATGTGAATTAATTGTGAACTTATTAGCATGTTTTGCTAATGAAACATTAATTAGGTATTGTTTATTAAAGCACAGAGGAAAAACATCCTGCCCAAGAGTGAGACTAACATCTACCAAGAAATTGTAACTTCAGGGAGGAAAGCGAAAATATTTTTTATGGTGGCATTATTCAGAGATCTAATGAATTATTTTCAGTTTGCTGAGGTATACATATGTATCTATCTACATATTTTCTATATTTAGGACATATCCACATTACAGATAGAATCCAGGCAGTAGATCTAGCTACATCAGAATATTTATAGCATGGTTAGCCCATGTTCCTAACCAGACTGACATATAAAAGGATCAAGCTATGGTATCATTTAATGTATGAAATATCCCTTATTCTTCATGGTGAGGTAGCTATTTTTCAGCCAGAGTGCTGAAGCAGTCAGGGGATTACTTGTATTTCATAGCCAAAGTAATGATATTGTGAATCTTCTGTTTAAATCTTTACTCAATTTAGCTCAATTTTCTTATGTAAGATATTACACCTGATGGCAGCTGCTTCATCATACAGTTAGATGCACTGCTGTGATCTATGGATCTCTGTCCTTTCCACAGCATCTCACAAACTGGGAGTAGTAAACTAATGGGAGATGTAATGAAATACCATTAAACACTGGAACAGGTTGCCCAGAGAAGTGGAGTCTCCATCTGTGGAGACAGTCAAAACCTGCTGGACATGGTCCTGGAAAACCTGCTCCAGGTGACCCTGCCAGAGCAGGGAAGGTTGGACTTGATCATCTCAGGAGTTCCTTTCCAACCTAAATGCTTCTGTGATTCTGCAATCACTTTCCTCGGTCATTGTTTTTTGTCTGTGGTGTTCCTGTGTGTGAATCCTCATTTGTAAAACCATATAAAACTGAACCCCATAGCATTTTATTAAAAATCTTCTTGTCATCCTTGGGTCATTTTCAGATTTGTCACCAAAGTAAATTTTAGGTATGAAAGAGTTAAATGAACTTTTAGGCTTGACTTGGTCTGGTTTGGCAAGCTTGCTGCTTGTTGTTAAAAGCATTGCCTACCCTAAATGGCACTGAGTTCTCTGGCTGCCTCTCAAACTTTTTTTCGGATTTATTCGAGCTACCTCACTTTCTAATTCAGATAGCCATCAAGAGATGACTAGGTTGAGATGTAGAACAATTCCTACTTGTTTTCACATCTTACATCACCTAAGCACCAAAATCATATATTTTTTAGAATTAACAAATACTGATGTGTGTAAATGAAAGGCTAAATATGAGACTGTAATTGTTACATCTTATTTGACTTCTGCTTCAACTGCAATTGTATTTACTTACATTTTATAGCTACATACTATAGCTTGTATTTTGCAAAAATATATCATGTAAACATCGCAATGTGCAACATAATGCTCAATATTAACTTTTTTTATACAATCTAATAACACTTTCTATGGGTGTTTTTGTAAAAAGCAGATAATACTATGTCCTTACTTTGATAAATGTCTAATCTCCAGTTGTGACATGTCACATGAAATTTTATAAAGAGAAATAATAGCAAGCTTTGGTAAATTTTCATCTGTTGTCAGCAATAGTTTATAATCAGGTACTGTTCTCAAATATATTTGGTTCTGGCCTTCTGCTCCCACAGGAGTTGTCCCAGCATCAGTTTACAGTTCTGCCCACAAAAATTGCAGGTGTGCCAGTATTTGTCAAGGTCTAAATTGTACGTGCAACATTTGAGAATAGCTCATCTATAACATACGGGCTGTATCTGTTAGTTCATCTAACATGTGAAATCACACATCTAGGAATTTAAAAACAAAAAATGCAGGCAAACAAGATGGAGGATTCCCCTCTGGAAATCAGATACAACATAAAAGACTTGAGGTTTTCAGGAATCCTGAGGTCCCACCATGACGATAGGCTAAAAGAGCACAGTATGTTCCTGTGTGTATGAACAGCAGGAAACTACAGCAGGAAACTTCAGCAGGAGTTGAGAGGTTATGTGTATCTCATTTTCACCCTGCAACTACCATGGCCACAGTCAAGCCCTGATGACCACAGATTAAAAAGAACATTTTAAAAAAATCGTACAGGCTCTAAAGAAGGGCTTTGAAAATGCCTATTTTGACAGGCACTATAGTGACTAATTCAAGAAGCTGAATCTGTTTAGTTTATCAAAGAAGCAGAGTCTGACTTGATCAGGGTGTGGATGCTCATATGTTGCTCATGCAGAACTGTAACGAGGGATACCTTTGGTATCAACTATCAAAAGATTTAACAAAATTCAGTGGCTGCCAGTTGAATCTACATGCAGAAACAAATGTTCAGATGTGTAAGGTATGGCCTGGATGTTTCTTTTTTAAGGTGTGACCTTATTCTAAGAGAATTTATTTCAGGTAAGCCCTGTAGTTTATGATAGGGAAGACAATAGAGTAGATTATTAAAATCCTTTCCTTTACAAATCTTTAAATTTTTCTATTTTTGTCTGAATTTGTTGGGAAAAATTGACTTGATGGGATTTGTATTGCTTTAAGTAAATTAAGATAGTCTTAATATATTCAGGATTGTATTTCTATCATTTAAAAAAGAATTGGTTATTTTATTATGAGCTATTTTCTCCTTACACCCAAAGAAAATGTGAAAAAAGGAGGGTAAGTTTCTAGGTTTTATGATTGCTGACACTGGAATAAATCCCAGATCACAGCATCTGCCATGGAGTATTGCCTCAGTAAGTTAGATCAGGGCAGTGTGCTTAAGCCAGGCTATAAATAAGGTAATGATATCGTTACTGACTAGAACTGACAGTTCAGTGACAAACAGTGATTATAGTATCAGTCTGATACATTTTTGTATCTTATATAATAAGTACAGGTAATATCTTTAACATGGTGTAATGGAGGATGGGTAGCAAGACCTGACAAGTCACCAAGGCAGACAACCTGCTGGATCTCAAGTTTTTATTTATTTAGCACCTGCAGCCCATCTTACTATATTTCTGTGCACAGTCTCAAAACTACTGGTGAGAAACTGGAGGTGCATCATGAGTGTTACTTAACAAATGTTAGCTTTCCTCTGTTATATGTATGATCATTCCGGTAAGCTTTTTATCTATTAAACTAACAGTAAATGTGTAAACAGCTGAGTATAATACAGGACTAATTCGTGTTCATGTAAACCTGTACTGACTAATATTATACAATAGTGTTGTACTGTGTTTGTTGGAATTGGGGCTGTGAAGCATGCTGGTTGCTTTTGCAGTGACTGCAAGATATGTTTATGCATTTGTGGTTTTTTTCATGGTTTGGTTATTTTTATCAGTCAGGGTAAGGGTTTTATTAAGGAGTCATGTATTTTGTACTGGTATTAAAGCTCAGTATAATTGATCTGCTACTTAAACAGAGAAATCTTTTCCAGGCTCTGTATTATAATAAAAATGCAGATTGCAAAGGATGATCAATATCCAAGTACAAGGGGGGGGGAAAGTACTAGTACAAGGATAAAGAAAGGGAATTTGTATAGTGGAGGTGGCCAACCTATGGATTTAGTGAATACTTTAATCAGCCTTTATAACTTTGGAATGTGAAATAGAGATGTACTGACATGAGAATTACTGGGACATCTGACTCCATTCCTGGCTGTGGAGAGAAACAAGTCAGCAGAAGCTGGACTGCTCCAAGATCCAGCTAGGTGATCAGCCCAGCCCTCTCTTACAGCAGGTTTTCTGCAGACATGTAAGAACCACTCAAAATTCCTCTTCCTCACTCATCTCCACTATAGAGAGTCCACAGTTTTGATTTTAGTTCTGTTGGGGTTTTGATAGATGTGGTCTTGGAAGATTGGTTACCCATGCTGTACATGCATTATTATTAATTTTCGCTGTTCTTGGCAATGCAAAAGGTGGAATTCTTGTCAAACTGATGTGATAAATTGGAGAATGGCAGAGGTGAGAGTCATTTTGCCCATTGTTGCCCTCTGGGTCCTGTTCATTCATCTAAATCCCTGCACTAGGGGATTAGGGATTAAGGAGTACTATAACGGTCACTAAAATTGAGAACAGAGTTAATGATCATAACCAAAGCCTAGCTACTGCTGTTTTCAGCTCTGTTTTCAAATTCACATCTTCCCACAAGGGACGTTATCTTTGGATAAGAGATGGTAATGGCATATAATCAGAAAAACACTTTCAAGAATAAAGGAGAATGTAGGATAGATTACCATGTCAAGAGTAAAATGAGGTTGGAGAAAGTACAGAAGCAGCCTGCTCTCACTGGGGTATTGGAGCAATATATGTCTCAGGAATAGTTCTATTCAAGGAAGGATGGAAGCATGCAGTGTGTCACCCACTTGACTTGCCTAATTCACAATTAGTTGCTTTGACAATTAAAGAAGTGTTTTCCTTCACAGTTCTGATATACTGCTGATCTGCTGGTCTAAGCAAAAAAGAAAGATGTGTGGATTATCAAGAAATATAAGCAATAATTATGCATGTCATTACAAAAAACATGCTTATGGAATATAAATTTGACTTAAATCTGAGCTCAGTGTGTCACATTTGATAGCTTCATGAGCTAACATAAACAGGTTGCAGTGCAAAGTGTGATGATAAATCAGTTACGTGGAAAAGTAAAATTTAAATGCTTTTTTTAGGGCTGATTTAGAGTTTCAGACCTCTGCATGGTGTCTGGAGACTTAAGTATTAATAATTAAGTAGTGTACTGAGATTCTATAATGGAGCTGTATTGAACTGCAGAATTCCTTAAAGCTCTCTGGAAAGCTGCTGTCTATAAAGAGTTAAATTTTTTCTGTCTTTGAACAGTCTGGAAGCCACTTCAAAGATCTCTAAGTGGTAGCCTAGTATTGTGCCTGTTCCTCCTTTACATCTGCTTCCCAAGAGTGTAGCTCAGGCTGAACCTTTTAATGTTGGAGTCTATGCAGTAGGTAAGAAAATGGTGGGTTTTAAGCAGGCAAGGGGAGAAGGAAATGATAAGCTAGAAAAAGAAGCAAATTCAAAAGCACATTTTTTTGCCTTTGACAGGGACAAAATTTAAGACAACCTTTTTCTTGATAGACAATTTAAAAACATGTGGGACATGCAGTATTATGACATGCTTGGGGACAGCTGAGCTGGAAAGACTGGCCCAGTGGCCATGAAATACATGTACAGCATTAAGAACTTGACATAAAAACAGTCCAGATATGAAGCTTTTCAAACACAATACAGATAGATAGATTTCAGTATGGAAAATTTGTTCTTGTGAGGAGAAACTATACTGTGACATGACATGTTTTACAAACTCCTTTTCCTCAGCTGAGAATACTTGAAAAAGTAACTACATATAATGACTTGTACATGCAGTTCTCCGGATCCTGCCACCCCCACCAGACATCTGCAAAGACAACTTCTGGTTATGAAAACCTTCTTCAATTATGTTTTGATGTCACACTTTCAATAGCTATGAAAAAGCAGTGAAAGTCACTGGTTGCAGTCACAACACTCTTCTGTATGAATGGCTTTTATAGGGCTGGGCCATTAAAGCAGACAGAAAATAGAAGAATCAAGAAGAAATGCTGTTATAAATCTCACCTTTCTTGGACAGTGCTTCTGCTGCTACTGCTTGAGATACGCATCTTGTGCTAATTTGTTTTCTTGCTGTTTCCCTCCAACATCTGTGCAGTCCTTGGATTAGCAAGTCACCCAAGCAATGCATGTTAGAAAACTGCCTCCTCGAATAGTAGTAGCCTTTCTCAAGTGGGGAAGAGGGTAAGAATGAGAAAATAGGCAAGTGATCTTTAACACACAGTGTTGCTGGGGAAAAAGTACATAGGTCACAGATTTTGTAAGAGTAAGCGATTGTGGAAGACGACACGTTTGGATGAGTAAGAAAATTGGATACAAAGTAGAAATTAACTTGTCTCAGGATTATGCAAACAGCTGTGGCATCTGGATGTGTGTGCCTGGCATGCAGATATCAGTTCTGCTTTTCACTCTAAATCACGCTACTCTTGGTCTCTGCAAAAGGTACCTGATAGAGTTCCTCTACTGCTCAACTGGCACCAGTGTTACATGCTGCAGCATATCAAATGGTGAGAGGAAGAGCTGCTACTGTAGAGCACACTCGCTGCAATGCCAAGATCAGAAAGGAGCAGTAGAGGGTCCCCTGAGTGTTAAATTGTTTCAGGCAACCTTGTTGTCGATTTGAGAGAGATACGCAGGGATTCTCCAATATTTCTAGCCTTTCAGCATTTTTATTTTGTGGTAACTAAAAAGCGATGACCCAGAGGAGTTAGTCCATACAATCTTCCCTAACAACCAGGTGTGTACATTGCTAAGAGAATTTCCTGCTCGAAATTCAAGTTTTTAAACACTGGAATATCCAGGCTTACCACAAAATCCATAAGGCTCTTCTGAGGGTTTCTTGAGCTTAAACAAAAGACAGAGATATAAATTCCATTTGTGATGTCGTCTCCTTGGAATGACTGAAAAGAGAATGACTGTTAAGAACAGCCCAGGGTATTCTGTTTGTAGATACATCTAAAACTACAGTCCTCTCATCTTCTGAAATTAGGAAGTCCTTTTCAGCATTCTAACCCAGCATTCCAGGTTTTTGTGCATCCAGGCCAAGAGGATCTTAGATTCTGTAGTATTCATGAAAGTTGTAACAACGTATCTTGAAGTGTAAAGGAAGCTATCCTTTTTCTTTTCATAGATGCAAAGTCATTTATTATTAATTATGGACCAAAGTTACATAATTTCAATCTGAATCTGAGATCCCCCAGTTTGGTTCAATGTTCCTGTTCAGTCCTCTCTTTACAAGGATTCAGCACTTACTATAAATATTCAAATAGTCGTAGTGTCTTTCTACTTGCTGTTCCCTTACTAGAAAAGGTGATCAGCTGCAATTATACAGAGCATCCAGTTCATGTCGGCTGTGTTGCAACTATAAAAATTGGCTTCCTACCTTACCATGCTGGTCAATGAACCTCACAGGAGTAGTAGAAAACTTACAAAATAATTTCTCTGAAAATAGCAGTTGATTATTAAGAGTGGAAAAATCTCATTTTGATATGAGAAACAACTGTTTAATTGTCCCAGAGCAGCAAGTTGGTCATTTGTATTGTCTGTTTATTGGTTTTTATTCTCTCTTATATTATTGTCATTTATTTATTCTTCAATTCCAAGGACTCTGGCAGTTATAAAACATAATTGTCCTCTCTGAAAGCCATCCAAAACACATGATAGGAAGTTTATCACCCTAGAAGCACACAAATGTTTGAAACCAGTCAGTCAGTGGAAATCCCATGCTTTCATATATGTAACCTGCTGTTTGGAATCTCTTGACTGAGTCTAGGTCAGATTTTCTATGAACATAATATTGCCAACAAAGTTACCTATGGCAGGTGAGTAAGGGAAATGCACTAGAGAAAGGGGCAGGGGCAGAGTTTTACATTGCAGCTTAAAAAATATTTCTGTTTTTGTCATCTCAAAATATGATCATACTCTCACCGAAAGCAGTGGCAACACATTTGTCAGCCGGAGCGAAAGTACATTTAACTTCCTTGATTTCACCTCCTGAGTCTAGTAGGGCAGTCCTGACTTTCTGATGTGACCGCCTAAGTACCTAAATTACATTATTTGTGTCTGAAGTTTTCTGGCTTCCATTCTGAAGTAATGCTTTCAGGCTCTTTAGCACATTTCAAATCCAAGCAATGCTAAGTGCTTTAGAGACTACTGTGAGGATGTATAAAAAAAGATCACCTCACTGACAGTGAAATACACCTCTCAGAGAAATAGTATACAAAGCCACTTAGCAGCCTACATCCATAGTTTTTGCACATTTGAATAGGAAGTAAGGAGTAATATTATAGTCAGTTGACTGCAGAAGGAATTATGGGAGACTGGGCATAATTACTGAAACAGGAATTTGGCTGGAGTGCCAAAACTGATGTTTGGGTTTTGCTTGTGCTTTTTTGTCATTAATCCCCTGTGATGTAAGATGTCAGCATTGCTAGCACTGAAAATGATTTTAATATATAGGCCAAGGTCAACTAAAGACTGGCTGTGTCTGACAATACATACGTGATGCTGATTTGGTCATTTTGCTTTCTAATTAGCTCTTTTCAAATAAGTATTTAGGTTTTCTTCAGATATTGGGGGGGTCCTAGTCAGATTTGGGAGGTTTTTTGCCTTAAACTTCTTTGCAGAGTGCAAGTATGAGCAGCAGATGCAAAGTACTTTAATCTTCTATTATCTTTTTATTATGCAGGACAGTCCAGAGCAGCCATGATACCCCCAAAACAGCCAAGGCAACCGAAGGGGGCTTTGGATGATGCCATTGCTTTTGGAGGACTAGTAGACCAGGAGACAATAAACAACTTACAGCCAACACCACCTCCACTGCCAAAGAAAACCATTTTGAGAGCAAACACAGAGCCGACTCCCAGAGATCTCCAGAAGCAGGCTCTGGAGAACAACCTGTGCATCGTGGCCAATCCTACCTACGATATTGACACCAACTGGGAAGCAAGCAGCGCCTGCTCTTCGGTCAGCCTGGAGCTCAAAGTACTGGACAATGAGTCAGGAGATTCCTTGGACAGGCCTACAGAAAAACTAAGGGCAACAACCTCCGCAACTAACAGTGTTTCCAGCCTAACCACTATCAGTATTAAGGAGCGGTGTTCCAATAGCATGGAGTCTCTAACAGGGAGACGCATCTCGCAGACTAAGCAGGGCAAAGGTGTCCAGAAGCCACAAAGGCAAGCACTTTATCGAGGAATTGAAAACCGAGAAGAGGTGGTAGGTAAAATCCGAAGCCTTCATGCTGATTCACTGAAGAAGCTGGCACTTAAATGTGAAGACTTGTTCATGGCTGGACAAAAAGACCAGTTGCGATTCGGGGTGGACAGCTGGTCAGATTTCAGGCTAACCAGTGACAAGCCATGCTGTGAGGCAGGCGATGCGGTTTACTACCCGGCTTCTTACGCAAAAGATCCTCTCAACAATTACGCAGTCAAGGTAAGAGGGTCTTGAAAAACGGTAACCGTGACAATCAGTGACAAAACATAACAACAGTAACCACAATCTGCCACATGCCTAGGACTGATAAGTCCTACAAATAGAAGTGTGTGCTGCTTGCAGTAGAACTGTGTGAAAAGTAAGATGCCCAGAAATACAGGCTCTTCCTTCTATCATGTGTGGCAGTGGTATCTGCTGTTTAAGTTTCATCTGTTTTTATTGCAGCTCCAAAATTATTAAAATCATCACAACTTTTTAGTAATTAAATATTGAAGGAAAATATGTATTATATTAACTGTGCCCGTGTTTTTTTAGAAACTTCCATTAACGAAATCCTTAGGTACATCTGCATGCAGATGATTCTAAATCATCACCCTTAGGAAAGATTTCAAAGTTTTCCATGTTCAGAGTCATGTAATTTTAAATATAAAATCTAGGCTAATATATCTTTATGTTCCCATACAAGGTCTTATCTTTTCATCAGCATTCATTACTGCCTTTCAAAAGCTCTGTTTAGCCATCAGCGTTGCCTTATGACCATACTAAAAAAAAAGTGGAACTTGTCAGTGTTAGTTTTGTGGCCTTTTACTAAACAAACAATTGATTTGTGTCTAGTTTATTCTCCAGCTGACACATAAAAGAAATAAGATTTACTAGATTTACTGCTAATGTATTAATGAATAGTTGGCAGCTATCTCATTAAATGTTGTTACTTTATGGACTTTTGTATAGGTAATTCTTTCTGAGAGCTGTATCTCTACTGTTCTGAATGCTTATCTGGTAGGGTGATAGTGAGACAGCTGAGACTCATAGCCCTGCCAGCTTCCTGTGTGACCTTGAACAAATCATTGAACTTCTGATGACTCCTTGTTGAAACTGAGATAAAACATTTATTACCCAACACAGGTGTGGGAGGCTTAATCGATTATTCCTTATAGAGCATGTTGACATTCTCAGGAGGTTGGTGCAAAATGTTGTTACCATTCCTGCATGATTGTTTACAAGAAAGATATAAGGAAATAAAAGATTGGTGCAACTGATAGGTTCTTCTAGAATTTGAAAAGGCATCTTTTTAAGGCAGATCAGTGGGTAAAGCCATTTATATTTCTTTAGTTATCAAGGACCTCTTTTTGAAAAGATGTGAAATGAAATATGGATGTCTTGTGGATGCCACATCCAGTGGTATGAAACAGCCAAGAACCAGACCATGAATATAGCTGGCAATCTACTCTGGTCGCAGAATCAACAATCTGGCATTACTCTTTTTGGGGGTTTTAATACAATGATGCTAAAATGGTTGCGCCTAGGACCCAAAGCGGTATTTTTCTATATAGTCAGGTTTGGGTTATCACTAAGGGAACTGCTCTTTGCACAGCATAGATGTGCCCTTAAAGTACTCCCTGACAGGCAAGACTTATGTAGTTATTTTCTCATCTGCTGTCCTCCTAAATAAGTTTCTCTTGTAGGAGGCCAGTGAGAAGACAGAACAGCAACATAGCATAGTCAAATATGTGCGCTTTTTTTCTCTCTCATAATTGTGATGAACTAAAAATAGTTCTCAGACTAACAAAATTTATTGCAGTGTAATAGGTGATGGTATTGAGAATGAGTTGAAGTATCCACAAAATAGCCTTGAGCTGGAGTTCACCATGAGTTGTTTTGTTAGGATGAGAGGAAAAGTTACTCTAGAAAATACCCTTCCTAGCACTTAACGTGATACAGGAAGATACTCTCACTACAAATGTTCTCTGCTGTCTTTATAAGCTAAGCAGAGCCAGCATACAGGACTACTGCTGTCTTTTTGTTTTCTCTTTCACGTATCTTAATTATTATGTGTTCAGCTAAATTGGGGTTTCTTTAGTTGTGTGTTTCTTTGATGTATATTTTATTACTTCATTCTCTATGCTAATATATTGAATTTATATAGCATTGTTTAAACTGTGTTTACTGGACTTCTTTCCCTTAAAATCAGTTCTAGTACATTTTAGCTTTGTCTTAACATTTGCCCCAAGTTGAACTGACTTATGAGTCCAGGATCAGATCTGTAGAAAATCTCCTAACAACAGATTGCTATTACATTATGCAGAGATTCGGGGAATTTAGCTTTAACGAATATATCAGTTTACTATCATTAGTATTTTTTCTGTGAGCCAAATTACAGAGTCATCTACCTCCAACAATAAGTTATGAGATTAAAATTACTGGTGTGCCTAGTGAATCCAAAATATAGTCTTCCTGTTATTTTTGATCAAGTCTTAGAAATAGACTTTGAAAGTGTATATGGAGCCACATCTTCAGACAGTGTAAATTTATGTAGCTCTTTTGAGTTTTGTAGAACTACCTAAGCAACACTGGCTTAATTCAGACACTTCATGAGTTCTATGATGTTAATATTACATTTGAGAAAAAAATGGGATAATGGGGTTTCTTAATTATTATTTTCTTTGTAAAAAACAAGAGATTCACCCCCAAATGGTGTTGAGTCTTAATGCGTAAGTCAAAAGCAAAACTTACATTTTAATATTATAGCTCCAAAAGTGGAATTCCAAAACTTCAAATTAAGTTTTAGCCATTTGACTACTGCTGAATTAAATTTAGAAGAATGAATCTTTTGTGCAGATGAATGTACTCATGCACCTTTACATTCTGGTGGTATCACCAGCAAAAGATGTTCTGCTAAATTTGGTGGGGAATGAGCACAACTTGTTCTGTTAGTGTGGATATTAGAGGAAACATTGTTTATAGGGGTGTGTTTTCTAAGGGTTGTATTGTGCTTTTTGCTTCACTCTCACCTGATCTGCTAATAAACATCCTGTGGAAAAAAAAAAAAAAAAAAAAAAAAAAGTTGCAGGAAGCCATGTGGAAATTGTTTTGATTGAAACATTATAACTAAAAACAGTAAATAAGTGGTGAACAGAAAACTACTTTTCCAAATGGAAGAAACAAGTTCCCTTACAAGAAAGGTTTCCATAAAATTTTAGTCCCTGAGGTATTTCTCCTTCACTAAGTGCAGTAGCACCTTCTAAGTAGTTGGTATATCTGGGACAGTATGGATAAACATTCCCCTGAAACCACAGCCTTATCAGTAATTCCAAATATGTAGTGGAAAGGTTACACTAAAGTAAAAGCAGCAGAGAGCACCAGGGTTTTTTACAAAGGGAATTGGACAAGTTCTTAGTATCCCTGCACAGACTGAATAAGGCTGTGATATGACTGCGATCTTTTTTATTTTATTTTAAATTATTGCTCAGAATGAATAATAATTATTTTATTTAAAATTATTGCTTAGAATGAGTAATAATTATACAAGATAATTACTGTGCCAGTGACATAAACTACTTCCACTTTCAGTATTAAACTCTCAAGGAAATTACTGTACAATATCATAAACACATAGCAATCATGATTCAGAGTCCACACGGAGCAATGCGGACATAAAACCCCAGCAGGGTTATGGCCTGCAGCATGTGTGTTCTGGCCACCGGTACATGGTGCAATGCAGTTCAGGTAGGATAACAGGAATTGCAAAGGTGCAAACAGCTCAAAAGGAGCAGTCACAATTTATTGCTTTTATTGCTGCAGGGCAGCAGAATTTCTTCTAGCAATAAAAGCTTAGGCTTTCTGCAAAGGTTTCTGTCTCAAGTATAAAATAGAGCAATGCACAAGTAAATAGTATTGGGCTGAGTTTGGCTGACAAGTTTCCTAGTTGCATCTGACAATTATTTTCTAGTTATGTTTAGTTTGTTACAGTGAGCTAAGGTAGTTTTTTGGTAACTGTTCTATAGTGGAGCTTCTTGGTGGAAGTGTTATTAAAGGGCATCCCAGAACTTCATGCTTCAGATCAAAATAAGGCTATATATGTTAAAATTTTAGCCCATTCCCAGTTCAGTCACAGCAGCATAGAATTCTGTATTTTGGCACATTGTTAAAAAGTCAAAGCTCTATTCCAAGGCCAGATCAAGAAAATGAGGTCAATCAGAGATCAAACTGGCCTCCTTGGGAAACGAGGTTGTGCCAAGAACAAGCTATCAATTTGGGATTAGCAAGATTTCATTCTACACAGAATTTCATTTGCAGTTGTCCCTCTGCGCAATGCAACCAAGTAGCACAGATGGTGCAGTCTTTGTGATCTTCTGTGTTTCTCATTTTCAGCACTTGTAAATTCATTTTCTACAATATTCATCGTACTTTAAGTTCACTGACGCCCTGTAAAATGCATAGGACAGAGTAGAAATGAGATTCCCTGCTGGTAAAGTGGAAGTCAGCTGATGGCACAGTAGGCTACTGGACTCATAAAGGAAAAAATAAGAGCTAATGCTGAACAGTTTTTAGAACCTCTGAAACATTAAAATCATGCTTCTTAGGGATGGGGGCAGGGGGAGAAAATTGAAATGCTAAGATATAAAGAAACCTGTCCTGTCCCTATAAACGTTGTAGAAGTCTAGTTCATATGGATGCACTAAAGGAAAAATACATGATGACAGTGCATTCCAGTGAAAAGGAAGATGGAAACTTTCCATTCCTTCCTAGTCATCTCTCTCTTTTTTCTCATTGCTTTCTTGCATCATATGGAAGAGCTTTTTCCCGGCAATGCTTCATCTTTTGAACAACCAGCTCTTTATCAGCATTAGTAATAAGACTTGCCAAGCCCTTATCAACACCTTTCTTTCAGCTATTATCACATACCATATCTTCATAGCTCAGCTGATTGTATTTCATTAAAGCAACTTGTAAATGACTGATTGATCCCACTTTCTGTTGGTGTTGTAGTCAAAGTATTTTCACCTTTTCCTTCTCCTGTGCCCAAAAATAGGAATTCAACTTACTATATATGTAGAAAGCAACAGGATTTCTTTTTTTTTTTTTTTCAGACCAGATGACTGGAACAGACAAAAGCTTTAAAAATCATGCAGAGAAAACTGGGCCATGTATTTACTCACAGTTTTGACATAGCATTAACTCTCACAAACAGAAAAGAAGCTCTTTATCCACTCCTTTAG